TGAATTCATCATGATGGGCTGACTGGCCTGTTTCCATTCTCATCTGTCCCCCTTCACTGGTGCCCCGCTGGCGTGTCCCGTTGGCGCAGGCTATTTTCACCATACTATTTTCACCCATCAAAAACAAAATAGGCTTAAGAAACTTTATTTGACATAAGACCCACCATAGCTCTCTCTTGCACTCTATTGAAAACAAACAAATTTATTACTTTTCCTGCAATATATAAAAAAAAAGAGTGAAAACGGGACCCTCAGTATTTTTGAAAATCGATTAAAAACCTGTTTAATCTACTATTTCTAAATCAAATGTAAATATTAGGCACCATACTCGTATACAGTGTCGGCTCATAAAAAATGCACAGCATCACTCACAGCGCTTTCAGTTTTCACTTTTCTTTCAATATTTTTATTACGCTTCCCATCCCATCCACCCCACAAAAGTCCTCAACGTACGCCCTTTCCTACATCGCATTGATATAATATAGGACTTATTCAGTCCTTTTTAGAAAGCCGACTTATCTTTATACTGTTTCGCAGGTTAATTTTATGATATTAATTTTTAAGGGATCCCCCCCCCCCCTATAAGGAAATTTTACTCATCTCTAAGCTGACTTTGATAATTGTCTTTGCAATCGACAGGGTTTGCTGCTGCGTTTGCCCTATATTAATTTTATGACGATTGAAGATGGGAGATTGAAGTTTTCATTTTACTTTGAGGAGCAAGAAATTGCTTGTTGCAAATAACAGGTTTATTACACTGTTCCTCGTTCTAAATTCGAATATTTTTAATATTATATGCTTATGAAAGATGCCGTTGTTTATTTATGTTTTATTATATTTGAGCAGTTTCTTTTTGTTATGACTATTTGTTTATATTTATTTGTTTATTTATTTTACATTGAATTGCAACATTTATAAAATTATTTTATTATTATTAAAGTTTTCATGTGAAGTTACATTTCGCCGACCATCGACTAGGTGATCGTCCGCGTGGTCGTTTTCCCTCTATCTTGCCTACAACCATTAGTTTGTCCAGATTGTCGGACCGTCGGCGAGCAATATGACCGAAGTATCCAAGAATCCTCCGATACCAGATTGTCGAGAGCCTATCTTTTATATGGAGTTGCGCCAGATAGCATCCTTCGCCAGCACCACGTCTCAAGAGCACCAATCTTTTTCGGCACCTTTGTTCTTCTTGTCCATGACTCGACTCCATACAAAAATATCGAGAAATACCGAATAATATAGGCTATATATGTGTATATTCGAAAATTCAATATATTTATTTATTTATGCTTTATTGACCACATTACAAAAAAAAAGTCTGGTACAAAAGGCGGACTTAATACTATATAGCATTCTCTCCCAGTCAACCTTTGGCAAAACAGAAATTTTATTATGCGGTGAAAAAAATCACAACACATACAATAGAGATTATATAAATATACTATGTAATTTTAGTCAAATCAAATTTGTGGGGGGGGAAGAGACTGTTAGTAATGGAGAGATATGTCCCCATTCCTATCAATATACCCTACGCGGCTCCCCGTGGGAACTATTGTGACTAATTTATTGTTGAATTCGTGATGATGGGCTAACTGACCTGCCTTTTCATCCTCACCTATCACCTCTCACTGGTATCCCGTCAGTGTATACCGATAGCGCAGGCGGGGTTACCATTCAATTTTCACCTATTAAAAAGCATCTAATTTGTGTTTCGTTCGTCCCCGAAATTTAGGAAAACATTTCATGGCAGACCCCCTAAACAATCGTGAGTTTGCAACTGGGCGACACGAAAAACTTTGTATGTCAATTTAAATTTCGCCCTCTGCGACGTAGGATTTATATAATACGCCCGGCGAAGTTACGTTCATTACAATGGCAACACTGAATAAGTCACTTAATAAGTAAATTAGGATGGACTGACGGATGGATGTTTGTTGTTTGTAAAAAAAAAATAAAAATAATTTTTATTCAAGTAAATTTAATAATAAGCATTGAAATGAAACGAAATGAGTTTATTTGCCTTAAACAGTTTAAAATTATTACAAGCCACGTGATATTATTTTGGCACCTGTTTAATTGCCTTAAAGATGTAGGCATGCAAATATTTTACATTTTATAAAAAAAAAGCGGTAAACAAAATTATAATTCAATTATATTATTTAAATTGACCTTACATATTAAAAGTCTAGATTACAGTACATTATGTCATTTATACATATATCTACACATAACAACTAATACAATAAATTTATAAAATAGAAAAAGGTAGTAGGGGTAAAAAAAAAATTAAAATGTCACGCTTAACACTCAAGATATTCCTTAATACTATAAAAAAGTTTGTCCAAAAGCCATTTAGTTAGATCTTTTTTAAATTTAATCAGAGGCAATACCTGAATGTCAGAAGGTAACCCATTAAATATTCTTTGTGTCATAAATGAGACGTTTTTTTTTATATAGCGTCAATGAACTTTTTGGGACAAGTTTTTGGGACATTTTTGTATAATAATTTTTTTTATCTACCGCCCAGTACGGATTGCAATTTCAGCTGAGAAAAACTGGCAAGAAACACAGCTTATGCTTTTTTTTAAGGGTACAACAAAAAAAATATGACCGGATAAAGTGACTATCACTTACTTCGTATTGATAAAAGAAAGAAAAAACAACAACAATCAATCACAGTATTCTTGAACAGATTAGTCACTATTAGGAGCACCCGTTCACGAGTATGACGGATGAGCTAGCTACGTATGTACGAGTATGACAGCCCACCTGATGGAAAGTGGTAACCGTCGCCTATAGACATGAGAAGTAACAGAGTACAGAGTAACAGAGTAGAGAGTAGTAGAGAGACATAACAGAGTATACTGTTTCGCCCAAGATCCCCCCACAAGCTCTCAGGAATGCCAACGCATGGGGGGATACCCCCCATTCCTGAGGACTCAGGCGTTATTCCCAGTAAATTCACGCCATATCCGACCCTTCAAACCGAAACACAGCCATGTAAACACAACTGCTTTACGGTTGAAACACGAATGGGACAGAGGTACCCAAGCAATCGACTTTTATACAAAGTCTCCCTCTGGTAAAAAGTATGTTATTCATATAGAATAACATACAAAAAATACTTTGTGTTGTTTGTATGTTCGTTCATTTTGTAACGTATTAATGTTGTTATCTCTCAAAATATTTATTCCATTTATAAATTGTTTTTGTTAGAACAATGCACCGCCATTTACTCTCTCTGTTTATCGCAACGGTTGACTGGTAGAGAGTGCCATCAGGCATTAAGTCCGCCCTGTAAACATATTTTAATGTGTACAAAAGTATAAATAAATATGATACGATGAATTTATAAATACCATAATAGAAGAGAATAGAGAAGAAAGGAGGGAAGGGGAAGACCGAGGCACAAATACATCAGGCAGATCAAGGAAAAAGTTAGTGGCGTGTCGTATCAAGAGTATGAAAAGACTCGCTGAAAATCGTAGTGAGTGGCAAGAGTTCCACCGACAAGAGCGCAGCTAAATAAGTATAACTCAATGAGTGACAAAAAAAATTAGTCAATACTTATATAATACATTTTTTTTTATAGTGACATAAGTAAATTTTGTACCACAAAAAAAAAACTACCAATCTCAATAGTGGCAACACCAGTTATTTTTATTTAAAAATCGAACTAAAAAAGTGATTTTGAAAAACGAATTTTCCTAATCAGTCTATAAATGTTCTTAGGTAACAAACATAAAAAAATTACATTGTGGAACTGCTACGAACTAGAAAGTAGAAGAAGTGGAACTAGCTAGAAACGACAAGGCTTATGTTCAGCAGTGGACAGCAACGGCTGATATACTCGTAATCATCATGTACGACGCGATGTTTCATAGAGACATTAATTTGAAATTATTTGAATTTAGAACGCGGCATCGTATCTCTTCGTACGAGATTCGTTCTTTACTATATTATCTGTGGTACAAGTAAATTTCTCGTTATGTGTTTTTGTGTGATGAAGCATCGAATGAAATATGAGACTAATACGGAAATAAATCCGGTTGAATAGAATAAGAATTATCAAAATCGATTCAGCATTGGTGACTATTAAGCATTGGTGGTATTTATCCAAAGCACAAAATACATTGTTCAGGATAGATACCACATAACAACATTTCAAAAATTATAAATTAAAATTACAGTTATTTACAAAGTTACTTTAAAAGAGTTCTCTTCCAGCAACACCCAAAGTGGAAAGGAGCATCAATATCTGTATTATCTGTATTGTGTTATAAAGAGCTGTTTGTTTTTTTTTTAATAAATAAATAAATAATATTTACAGAAAATACTCGGAAAATACAAATAAATAACAAACAAAGTAATTCATGAATAAAACATTATATCGCGGAAAACCAGTGATCATCGGAAGGTAAAGCAATGACTGAAATCACAGATATATATATATATATATATATATATATATATATATATATATATATATATATATATATATATATATATATAAGGGGGAAAGGGATTGTTAGTAATGAGGATTGGTAACCCCATTACTAGCAATATATCCTATCAGATCGACCTCCACGCGCTTCCCTGGAAATTATCGTATTTATTTTATCGTTGAATTCGTCACGATGGGCTAATTGACCTGCCTTTTCATCCTCACCTATCACCTCTCACTGGTACCCCGCCAGTGTATACTGATAGCGCAGACGGGGTTACCATGTCATTTTCACTCATTAAAAACCCTTTATACTCTGTTATGTTCATAGTACTAATCATGTCCATAAACGACAGTTATGCAGTGCAATAAATAATAAATAAATAATATGGCGAATGACTTGAAATTTAAAAAAAGAATAGTGTAAAGCTCCATCTGTAAGTCCGGCTGACACTACACCTGTTTACTCGTCATGTAATTACCATAACACCGGTCTTGCCATAGAATTTGGCGCCAGGTGATCTCTTTTCGAAAACGTCAGTGTGTCTGGCGCGGTTATTGTCGCAACTCGTGTATGTGTTACCTCGCGTAAGTGTATGAATATACAAAATTGAAAGTTGTTTTTATTGTGTTAAGTTTTACATGCTTACGGATTGTACTTTAAAATAAGTAAGTACTTGAAGGTCGTATTATACGGTAAGTGAATTAATTAAGTGCGTTCTTACTATAATTACTGCTACATAATTTTTTTTTTAGTTAAAAAACCAATTTTTTGAGATCCTATTCATAATCACGTGAGCCGTTAACTGTTCATTGCTAAACATAGGTCCCTCCCGTAAGGAAGGTTTTGTCAGTAGTTGCCACGCTTGGCAGGTGGATTTGCAGCCGCAGTTAGGCTTTAAAGATGTTTTAAGGAGGACGCTGTTGCCCTATTGTTATTTATAAATGTGAAAGAGTTACAAGTTATATATATATATATATATATATATATATATATATATATATATATATATATATATATATATATATATATATATATATATATACATTTGGTATACAGTAGGTGTATGAAGAAGGACATACCTTACTTTTAATCTGGAAGTTTTCTACTTTTAATTTTTTTTTATTGTACAGAAATTGAATCTATAACTATAGCAAGATGAGAGTCTTTTATTGAGTGATAATGTAATGGTAACCCTACCTGCGCCAATGTTATACGTTGGCGGAGTACCAGTGAGGGCTGATAGGTGAGTATAAAAAGGCAAGTCAGTTGCCCCATTATAGTGAATACATCTGGAAGCCAAAAGACCTCCTTTTGAAACTCGTCTCGATTTGTTAAATAGTGATTCATTTCACTAGATAAATTTGCTTGAATATCTTATACGTATATTTATAGTTTTTTTATAGATGACAATAGAGTGGTAACCCCGCCTGCGCTAACGGTATACGCTGGCGGAGCACCAGTGAGGGATGATAAATGCGAACTAAACAGCAGGTCAGCTAGTCCATTGTGATATATGCAGCTGGAATTCAGCACAATGGTTTCCAAGCGGACCACGTGGAGGTCGTCCTGATAGGGTATATTGCTAGCAATGGGACTGGTAGTCTGCAGTATTAACAAACCCTTCCCCCCTATTTATAGAGTTATACGAAACGATGTACATATATATTTATAGACGTATATGTATACTGTGTCTCATTAGCGAGTCATCGTTTTAGCTGGGAGTCACAGATATAGTATATATTTGTTTAAGGGTAGCCTATCTGTAACAGGAAGGCGGGATATCTGAAATCTTAACTAGAAATACATTAAGATGGTTGATTTATATATGTAAGTAATGTACCTAAGGTTAAATTTTTTTTTAATGATATGTTAGTATATTATTTTTATTTACCATCGTCATATCGGCCGTTAATTGTCCACTGCTGGACATAGGGAACCTCCCCATAAGGAAGGTTTTACCGGTATTTGCCGCGCTTCGCAGGCGAGTGGGTTTTTTTTATACAGCTTAGAATGGCAAACAAGATGACGGCTCACCTGATGGAAAGTGATAACTGTCGCCTATACATATAAGCAGTACCATAGACATAACAGAGTATACTGTTTCTCCCATGATACCCCCTATGCATTGCCATTCCTGAGGACTCTGGTGTTATTCCTCTGTAACCAGTAAATTCACGCCACATCTCACCCTTCAAACCGAAACACAGCCATGCAAACACAACTGCTTCACGGTAGATACACGAATAGGACAGAGGTGCCCAAGCAAACGACTTTTGTACAGTCTCCCTGGTTGGTCTGGTTTCCTTCTGGCAAATTACGTCAGTGTGGTGTTTGTTAAATAAAATAACTATTACACAAATATTTACGCTTCACCATTACGTCAGTGGTTTCTTTCTTTGCGTTTCATTCGGAAATTTAAGAAGTTTATATTGGGGAATACTATTTTTGTCTTTGTTATTTCATGTACATGACCATAATAGTGTTGGGGTTTCGTTATAAAGTAAGTAAACGGCGATTTAGGTATGCAGGTACACAATCGTACAAATCGCGTCAATTTGGAGACTACTACTAGACTTTACTGTGAATTTAAGTGAATCTACTGGGTACAGAGGAATAACACCTGAGTCCTCAGGAATGGCAACGCATGGAGGATGTCATGGGCGAAACAGTATACTCTGTTATGTCCATGGTACTGCTCATGTCTATAGGCGACGGTTACCACTTTCCATCAGGTGGGCCGTCAGCTTGTTTGCCATTATAAGGTGTATAAAAAAAAAACCCCGCTCGCCGCAACTATAAAAATAGACGAAAACCAACGGATCGGCCATTTGGTTGTCAGGCGTGTGCTCGAACATACGAGGTCTGTCCGGAAAGTTCGTATAAAAGTGTTCTGGAATGCGAGAAAGAGGAGTGGGGAGGCCAGGTAAGCGCAGGACCCCTTCCTTATGTCCCTAACAATGCTTCAGTTCTGGTCTGACCGCCGTGCGGTGCGAACTGGCTTGTCACGCCATCTGTGAAGTTACCTCTTAACGAAACCCCGTCGGCATGGAGCCCGCTTCCGTTGAAGAGCAGCGCGTCGTAATCAAGTTTCTCTCGAAACTCGGCAAGAATGGCCGTGAAATTTTTGCCGATCTCAGAACAGTTTATGGGGATGATGCTGTGAAGGAACCAACCGTCCACAAGTGGCTAAAAAGATTCAGAGAGTGCCGAGAAAGCGTTCAAGATGACCCACGTTCAGGACGTCCTTCCACTTCACATTCCGACGAAAACGTGGAAAGAATTCGAACTTGTGTTAATGGGGACCGTCGTTTAACGGTCAGACAGTTGGCTGAAGAGCTTAATTTGGGCAAAACCGTGGTCCACGAAATTCTAAGAAACGAACTTCAAATGAAAAAAATTTGCGCCAAGATCGTTCCGTGAGTTTTTGAGTAAAAATTCCATTACGGTGACCGAACACCCCCCCTATTCGCAGGATTTGGCCCCGTGTGACTTCTTCTTGTTCCCAAAAACCAAATACTTCGGGGGCGGCATTTGGGGGACATAAATGAGATAAAAAAAGCTACGACGGGGCAGCTGAGAAAACAAAGGACTTTCAAGGATCACAGTGGAAACGGCGTTGGCAAGTGCATTATGTGGTACTTTGAAGGGGATAAAATTGATTTACCTGAATAATTGTAAAATAAAATTTTTAAAAAACTTTTATACGTATTTTCCGGACAAACCTCGTACATATCTCCGGATATATAATAATGTCATACCTATATCAAATTATTGTTAGACAGAAATCTTGTATAAGTTGTTCTATTTAATTATACGAATTATTTTAGTGTTTTTAAATTAAAAATAAGATTTTTTTTTTATACCATTGAGGTGGCAAACAAGCATACGGCGCAGATGGTAAGCGATTAAAGTAGCCTATGAACACCTGCAATACTAGAGGTATTGCGCGTGCGTTGCCGACCCTGTAGAAACCTCTTTATATATTTGTGGAATTTTGTTTAATATATTCTTTTTTCTTCTTCTTCCGTTTACGTCTATGTACAATTTATTTTATATATTTTTTTACAACACAAGGGGCAAACGAGCATGCGGCTCACCTGTTGATAAGTGACTACCGCCGCCCATGATCACCCACAACATCAACGGCATTGCAGGTGTGCTGCCGGCCTTTTAAAAAGGAATATGCTCTTTTCTTGACGGTTATGAGTAATATATAATATTTATATTAGTAAGATATCCTTGCTATTCCCACGATGTCAACTGAGCGTCGTGGTGAATGTAATTTTTTTACACAAATATATAGGCTGCTGACTCATCATCATATCAACCTTGAACTGTCCACTGCTGAACATAAGCCTCCCCTTGGGGGGTTTTGCCAGTAGTTGCTACGCTTGGCAGGCGGATTGACAACTGCAGGTTGAGTTTAGAGATGTTTTAAAAGGGACGCTGCTGTCCATTCCTCGCCCTTCCTTAGTCGCCTTTTACGACACTTACGTGAAAGGACAGGGTGGCCTATTCTGTGCCGGGAGCATACAGGAAATTTCATATGAGCAATGGATTAAAAGCAATTATGGAGCAAAATATGGATTTGTATTTTATATATGCAATTTAGAAGGGAAAACAAGCTGACCACCCATCTTATAGAATGTGGTAACTGTCGTTTATGGACATGATTGGTACTATGGACATAACAGAGTATATAGGGTTTTTAATGAGTGAAAATGGCATGGTAACCCCGCCTGCGCTATCGGTATACATTGGCGGGGTACTAGTGAGAGGTGATAGGTGAGGATGAAAAGTCAGGACAATTCGCCCATCGCGGCGAGTTCAACGATAAATTAGTCACGATAGTTTCCATGGGGAACCGCGTGGAGGTCGACCGGATAAGGTATATTAATAGCAATGGGGGGGAAGGAATTGTTAGCAATTTACCCTATCAGGTCGACCTCCACGTGGTTCCTCCTAGAAACCATCGTGAATAATTCTTGTTGAATTCGTCAGGATGGGCTAATTGACCTGCTTCATCCTCACCTATCATCCTTCACTGGTGCCCCGCCGGTGTATACCGATAGCGCGGGTGGGATTACTATTTCATTAGCCTCCCCATTACTAACAATCCTTTCCGCCCGAGTATATAGGGTTGCCAACAATATCTCCACTGCGAACAGTCATATATAAACATTTCATTTGAGTGACAACTATTCCTGAATCCACTTACTGTGAATAATAGATGCAAACGATCCACACTAAACAACGTATTATAAGATAATCCTATTTCCCGGCCGTCACGCTAACTTCGAGTAATATGGTGTCCATAAATTATGAAGGTATTTAGGACAATCTTAAAATAATTTTACTATTTAAAGGTTACGTCTTTTATAACGATTTTTGTCGTAGAGTATGGATGAATTAATGAGTATACTTTATTTGCATTATACAATATAGGAAATAAGCAAGACAATTAATAAATGTAACGATACAATTGTATAAGTACAGTAAGGCGGTCTTATTGCTGAGAGCAATCTTTTCAAGACAACCTTAGGGTAATGGACTAAGGACAAACTTAGAGTAGTTTTTATTTTACAAGTAGGTATTAAGCATTGTATAATTAAGAAAATTAACAGTAATTAGTAGTTTTAATATCACGAGGTACCAAGTTCGATTC